TTAATTCTTCCAGATTTCCTGTATTTTCCTCAATCCATTAAAGACATTTGACTATCTTTCTTTGAATTCCTTTTCTGGAAGTTCCAATAACATTTCTTCCTCTAGAAGACTGGTTCTATATTTTGGTCTCTTTTTGGTGCCACTTTCTCTTGTTAATTTGTGTAGTTTAAAATGATCTGTTGCCTCTGAGACACTGATGTCTTTGTATTATTTTGTTTTGACACATCTGACCGAGCTCTTAGTATTTCACCCCATTCTCTGAAGGGTGTGACAGAAGATAGCAGTGTGTGTGCAGTTACCTATGCGCTGTTTCTGTAAAGCCCTTGCGGGCAGTTAGGTTTTGTGAGGCTGCAGTCTTTTATCGATCGGGTGGAACAAGAGCCAGTCTTCATTCTTTTCCAATAGGTGAAGCTGCAGCAGGTGTGCGTTGCTGGGCTGTGTGGACACGGTTGCTGCCTGTCTGACATGAGCCAGCTGCTGGTGTAGACACTGCCACTGTCCTGGATTCTTAACCCAACCAGGAAACCATCCATAAAAGTTCAAAATTATTGTCATGCTAGCTTTGTTCACAGTTCACTGCTCCAACCTGTCTCCTTACTTACATTTTCATTCAGAGTCTTCTTTTGTCAGTTTGTGAACTACTTCTTTATCTTTCCTTTGAAATTTAGGGTCCACATCTGCTATCTTTGTTTTCTGATGTCTTAACTGTAGAGGATCTGAGTAGGCTGCAATCTTCCTCATTTACCATCTTTCCTTGAAGTTCTTTGTGCTTCTTAAACATGTGGCCCTCTCCTATCCCTTGCTCAGAGTATATACCACATGCAAGAATTTACCTTGAGAAAATGAGTGCAGTTCTCAATAGAGAAGACAGTTCATCTATCTCCCTCTTAACTCCATCCCATCCTCATTACTCTGTCAAAAAAATAGAACAGGCTAAGAAGCACTGTATATATTTTAGGTTTAAATAGATGAACAGTGAAAACTGAGCAATAAGCTAAGGTAATTAAATGTATAAAAAGAATCTTTTTGTTGTAACTATGTCAAACTTAAATGCTATTAATGGGCACCTTTGATGATATGCACTGACCCCTAATACTGCCATTCTTCAGTGCCACCAAGTTGATTCCTACTCACAGCAACCCCATGGAGAAGAGAATGACACACTGCCCAGACCTGTGCCAGCCTCAGAATCACTGCTCTAACTGACCCTATTGTTGCAGCCAGTGCATTAATCCATCTACCATATTAATCCATCTACTGTATTAAGCCATCCATTGTATTAATCCACTCTATCATTCAATTTCTCAATTACTTCCTTTTTTCATCAAGCATGATGTCCTTCTCCAGGGACTGGTTCTTCCTGATAAGATGTCTTCAGACTCTAAGAAATTCACCATATTCCCTTCTAACGAGCATTCTGGCTGTACTTCTTTTAAGACAGTGTGCTCATTGTTCTGGCAGGCTATGACATGTTCAATATTTTTCACTAACACGAAAATTCAAAGGCATCAACTCTTCTTTCACCTTATTCACAGTCCAGCTTTCTAATGAATATAAGGCAATTGAAAATATCATGGCAAGGGTACAGGCACACCTTAGTTCTCGAAGGGACATCTTTGCTTTTTTGACACTTTTAAAGAGGCCTTTTGCAGCCAATTTTCCCCACTATAATATGATGTGTGATTTCCCAAAGGATGCTTCTTAGTGATTGTGGATCCAAGGGAAATGAAATTCTTAAGAATGTCAATATTTTCTCCATTCATCATGATATTGCTAATTAGTCCACTTGTTGGGGATTTGTATTTTATGTTGAAGAGGAACCACTGGTTGCCTAGTGATTAGGGAGGCCAATGCAAAGATGACAGGTTCCCACCAATTCTCTGAGGGAGAAAGATAGGTAGTTTCCTCCTGTGTGATTTATAGCCTCCAAAAAAACCCCACTGGAGGGTCAGCTATGACTCGATTCAAATCAATAGCAATGAGTGAGCAAGTGAGTGATGTTGAGGTGTAATCCATACTGAAGCCTGCAGTCTTTGATCATCAGTAAATCTTCCAGTCTTCTTTACTTTCAGCAAACAAGGTTATATCAGGTTGTTAATGAGTTCTCCACTAATCCTGATGCTGTGTTCTTCATCTAATACAGTTTCTATGATTATCTGGTAGGTTAAGAATGGTGAAAAGATGAAATTCTAGAACACAGCTTTCTCAATTTTAAACCCCACAGTATTTCCAGTTTGGTTGGAATGTCTTCCTCTTTGTCTAAGTATAGATTCCTCATGACCATAATTAAGTGTTCTGAAATTCCCATTTTTTACAATGCTATCCATAATTTGTTATAGTCTACACAAATGCTTTTGCATAATCAACAAAACACATCTTTTCTCTTTCCTCTTTCACACAAGATCCATTTGCCATCAGTCTCCTACATTTTTGTCCCCTAATCCTCAACGTCAGTGCCAAATATTATTTTATGTTACACAATTACCCTGTACTGTGTGGGATGCCAAATTTCATACTAAATATTTATAATAAACAAAATGCTATTTCAGGATGTGAGGGAGGCTGATACAAGCTAGACTTCACCCTGAAGCACTAAGGCAATCCTTAAATATTTATAGGGGTAGGCACTAAGGCAATCTTTAAGCCTTTACAGGATTCTTGTATTGTATTTGCTAACTCCTCCCTCCCCAGTCAAGCATTAGGTATTCAATGGAAAGAGCTTAGCTTCATTTGTATTGAATTCTCTTTATGATTTGCTCCCTGGCAATTTTCAGTAAAGACACAGGGAAGCTAGGACCAGCGCTTCAGTTGCCTTCAGTTGTTCGAGAACTGTTTGCCTCCTGCTTTACCTCTTTATTACTTATACATTATTGGTGTTCTGTCTTATTATTAATACTTAATAATATACTTTACTCTTGGTCTGCAATAGTACTGCACTTGCTTTCTCTTTTTTAATTGAAAATTTAATGAAAGTTTAGAGACTTTAGATTTCCATTCATACACTGTTACACATTTTCCTCCCTGCCTATGCCTCCTCCCTAGTTAACTTTTCTCTTTGAAAAGGAAAAAAAAATTCTTTCATTGTTATACAATGCCCCCCACCCCTCCAAAGTCCTCTTTACTATGCAGCTCTTATTCTGGACTCTTGTCGTGAAAATAATACCTAATCATATATCTGTTTCAATGCAGTGTACTTATTTATCCCCTCTTTTCTTAGGTTCTCCCCAACCCCAATGTCAGTTCTGTTCTACAACAGTGGTACTATGCAGTATTTGTCTTTTGTGACTAAGATATTTCACTCAGCATAATGTCCTCTAGGATCACCATTTTGTATAAGATTTCATTGTTTTGTTTCATTGTGTTTTGTTTGTATAACAGTTAATTTTATTTTGTTTGTATAATAGTTTTTTGTTTTTCAACGCAGCATAGTATTCCATTGTGTGAATATAGCACAGCTTCTCTATCCATTCATTTGTTGATGGGCACTTGGGTTGTTTCCAACTCTTTGCTATTGTGAACAAAGCCACGAAAAACATGGGTGTGCATATATCTCCTTGGGTGGCAGTTCTGGTTTCTTTAGGGTATATTCTCAGTTCTGGAATTGCTGGGTCAAATGGTATTTATATTTCCAACTTTTTGAGACAGTGCCACTCTGCCTTCCATAGTGGTAGCACCATGCACTTGCTTTCTTAATTTAACAAAATATTTTGGCCACTGATTCCTATCACTATATATAAATAAGCCTTTTCCAATAAAATAGCTCCAGAATAATCCACTGGATATATATATATATATACACACACACACACACAATATATCTAATTATATATAGAACTGTTATAACCAATCTCTTGTTATAATAATCAACACTGGAATTAATATCCTTATACATAGTTTTTTGCATAAAAACCTTATGATAAATTCCTAGAAATAAAATTATCACATCAGAAGGTACATGAATTTCAAATGGATACACAATGCCTTTTAAAAATGTGGTTTAATTTTTTCAATGATGAACAAATATTCCTGGTTATCCACTCAAGAAATGGTCAGACTTTCTGATCTTTTTGTTCTGTGAATTTGACAGGTAAAATGATACTGCATTATAGTTTTAATTTGCACCTAAAATTATGAATGAAGTTTCATTTGATATATATAAAAGCCATTTTCTTTTTTATGAACTGATTATTCATAGCCTTACCCAGATTTTCCATTTATATTTACACAGTAAATAAATGAAATCTTGGCTTATATATAAATTATAAACATTTTCTCCAGTTATCTTTATCTTTTTACTTTATGAATTTTCCCTATGTAGAAATTTATTTTATATAGTTATTCATAAAGATTTCTTATATGAAATGTAATTTTATTTTATATTTAGAAAGATTTTCCAATTCCAAGATTATTAAAAATAAAAAGCTGTGTTTCATGGTTTGTTCTATAATTTATGTGAGTTTATTTTTTACATTTAGATCTTTAATGCATTTGAAACTTATTATTACGGAAGAATCAAGTTAGAAACCTAACTTTATTATTTGTCCTGCAGTATTTTTCCTATGTTGTGTCAAAATTTGCTGAAATCATTGTAAGTCAATTTCTTATAGGTGTGTTGGTTTATTTCTAGATTTTCAGGTGTTTTTTCCATTTAGGAATATTCTAGAAGCCCATCCACTCTGTCATTTTACAAGCAGATAACTTAGTGTTATTTTCTTAAGGGAATGCTTTATTTCTAGGAATTTTCATTCTATTATCTGAAAATTCATGTGGATTTACTTTTGAGAAAGGGAATACATCTCAGCCATTTAAATCTCATTTTAAATTTGTAAAATTATCTTTAAAAAACAAGGAAGAAGATATTTGATTTGCAGGAAAAGGAGAAAGAGAATTTGATATAGGTCAGGTGAAGTAAGAAAGAAGGGGACAGCTTCTGGAAAACCAAAAACAAGTATTTACATTTCAGTTACAATGCTGAGCCAGCCCAGTGGCATAATACTCACATATCAGTGTGGTCATAGGCTAAGTATTCCTCAATTATTCCTTCAGAGTAGATTACACAGTCTTGTTCTTCTTTTTCCATAGAACACAGGCTAGAAGATTTGGCAATGGAAGATGCTTTATGAGCATAAGAAGAAAAATTTAACTTCTTTCCTCTTATACCAAATCTGGAAGAAGGAAAAGGCAGGTATCGGTTATGTACAATCTGAGTAGTTATTACAGCAACACACTCTGAGTTTCAATTCACAGACCACTGCCCAGCAGCGATCTTCCTAGACAACTAAAAGCCTCAATAACCTAATATTTCTCAGAAAAAGAACAGATTTATTCTGCCAATACTCATTATTACAGCTATCTTCTAGATTCTCACCACTGGGCCAACTGGCAGCATGATAATAGATGGAGAAAAGATTGAGATTGTTAACAATTTCAGCTTGCTCAGGTCTACAATCAACATTCTTGGCATCAGCAGCCAGGAAATCAAAAGATGAATTAGATTAGCAAAGTCTGTTGTCAGGGACCTCTCGAGAGTTCTGAAGAACACCAAGGTCAGTTTAGAGACTAAGGTGCACCGAATACAGGCCATGGTCTGTAATAACAATTACTTGTTATGCATCAGAGAGCTGGACAATGACTAAGGATGATAAAAGAATTTTGAACTTTGAGTTGTGGTGCTAGAGAAGAGTACTGACTATACCATGGACTGCCAAGAGAACAAACAGGTCAGTGCTGGAGATGGTGAAATCAAGTTGCTCTCTGGAGGCAAGAATTATTATTATTATTATTATTATTATTAAAGCTTGTGCTTGGAAGAGTGCAGGGACAGTGCAGAAGAGGAAGACTTTGGATGAGACAGACAGACACAGTGACTGGCGATAACAGTGTCAGGTGTGTCAGAGACAGTGACATTGGCTCAGGAGAGGACAGGGTTCTGAGCTATTGTGTATAGGGTCACTATGAGTCACAATAATAACACTCTTCTAGATGCAAAAGATATAGCTATAAAATACATTTTTAAAAGTCTGAGAATATTTATATACGTAATTGCATCTTTAAGGTATCTCAGAATATATATGCTTAATTCCATAACTATCATGTCCTTTAAAGGCATGGATCCTACCTTTATTTATATTTACATTTCTCTTTACATCTACATATTAAATGAACATGTGATGATTCATTCATTGACAGGTTTATTTTGGAGAAAGTCAAATCTGAGCAACACAATTTTTAAGAATGGCTCCTAGTCTAACTGACTATTTACATGAACCAATCTATGCTTTACTTTGTACCTCTTTTTTTTTTTTAATGAAGCAGGTCAGCAACAGGCCCTTTATACTTTTTTGTGTCTTTGATCATTTTTACTGAGGAAAAATTAATCCTATGGCCCTTTTAAGAAGTCTGGTAGTGTAGCAATAAAATGTCAGGCTGTTAACTGAAAAGTTGGTCATTCAAATCCATCATCCGCTCTGAGGGAGAAAAATGGGCATTCTCTCATGGGTAAAGATTTACAGCTGCAGAAACTGACTATTGGGTCACTATGAGTTACACTTGAATTATGTAGTGGGTTTTATTTGATTTGGTTTATAGCACTTTTAACATGACTGGCAGGAAAAACCTTATGAGAAAACATTTTCAAAATATATATTATAGAAACTTTAAAATAAATATATTCTATGAACCAAGAGTTAGAGATTTCTTTTAGTAGGAAAGAAAGTAAGGGAAAAAAGAGTGAGAAGGAAAAGAGGAAACATTTAATAAAGAAAAAAAACCAACTCCATGTATTTCTGGGGTATTTTAGATGTCTGAAATGTCTTTTTTTTATTTTTTATTTTATTATTTTGGGTGTGTGTACCGTCAAATTGGATCTGACTGGTACAGGAGGAGATTGTCCCTCCTTCTCCAGCAGAGCATCTGGTGGATTCGAACCGAGTGCCTCTGGGATTGTAGTGCAGATGTCTGAAATTTCTATAACCTTGCTCTTTAGATAGTAGTGCAGGGCCTCAAAACAGTTTCAAACTGTTCTTGCAAAGCTCTTTAGGAATACACAAGGCCACTCCAGATCTGAGCATGCTGGAGGCTTACAATAGAGACTTCTTTTTGATAATATGAGCTATAAAAATGGCTATAAGAAAATTATTTAGAATTACTGAAAATAAAAATTAAGACAAATTGTTTCAGAATAGGGGACAGGCTGCTTCAATAAATGTGGTGGCAGCTGTCTGCTGGTTGAGTCAGACCCTCCACTGGGTTTTTAGAGACAGTAAATCACATGGGAGGAGATTGCCCATTCTTCTGCAGAGCAGCTGGTGGATAAATATGAAATAGGTTGTGAATAGGTTCTAGTATTAGAATAAGAGTTGCTGCCAACCTCCACAACGGAGCAAGATGGTAGAGGTGGAGGAAGCAGCTTAAGGAGCCAGAGGAGTGGCAAGCTGCATAGAAATGGGCCACCAGAGGGACCGATGCAGTGCACAAAGACCAAAAACGGTAAGAATTTGAGTCAGGGCGAGTTCTGGTGGCCTAGTGGCAAGAAGCTGCACTGCAATCCCAGAGGTACATGGTTCAAATCCACCAGATGGTCTCGTGGAGAAGGAGGGACAATCTCCTCCTGTACCAGTCAGATGTGATTTGATGGTACACACACACAAAATAACAAAATAAAAAATAATTGAGTCAGAATATTAAAATAAATAGTTTGGAAGCCCCAGGAGCAGTGAGTCGCAGGCCCTGGCAGAAGCCACCAGCCATGCTTTTGTGGGACCCACCTGCCAGAAGAAAGCAGGGCAGAGGGGAAACAGAGTTTTCTTAAGCCTCACCAACCAGCCAGGAGTAATCAGGTTGGTATGAATTTGCCTGCATTTTATTAAGTCCCACAGGACCCTGGGTCCCGCTGGGGCAGGGGTCACTGAACAAGGGCACCTGTGCAAGGTGAGCAAGAGCTGCTGGATGGGAGATGGACAGCTGGAATTTGAGTAGGGACCCCACTCATGAGCACATCCAGACAGCTGAAATCTGAGTAAAGTCTCCACAAGTGGCTGCCCTGCCCCTGTGGTCGCCTTCCCCAACCCCTCCCATGCCAGCCCCAGCCCCCATTCAGCTCCACACCCATGCCTAACCGTCCAGTCAATTGATCAACTTGCCTTTAATCTGGAGCACCTTGATCCGACTTAGCTATAAGAGGCTGCTCTCACAGGCCCTGAACCGAACCTTCCTGAGTCAGAAGTTCAGACAAAAACACAGGTGGGGTAGCGGCCCCACCAATTTTTAGAGTACTATCAAGAACCTATCAATGTCACAAAAGAAGCAGGCTATCTCACACCCTACACAAGAGCAAAGCAAGATGTCACCCCCAAAAGGTGACACAGTATCAATGGATTTCCTGAAGCCAAAAAGTCTGATGGAACTTTCTGACACAGAATTTAAAGAACAATGATTGAATACTTCAATAGGCGAAACACAAAGAATTACAGGATACTGCAAACAAAAACCAGGAGGAGCTTAAAAAAACAATCCAGAACAAAGAAGATGAAACAAATGAGGCATTAGTGGCACTGGACAAACAAGAAACCATGATCCAAAATATGAAGTCTAATGTTTCAGATGCTGTCAACATGATGGGAGGGACACATTAACAGAGATGATAAGATGGAAGACAGAACCAATGAAATAGAAGATAGAATTGTCACCACTGATCTGCTAGAGCAAAAAGCAGAATCAAAGGGGAAGGAAAAAGAAGAAAAACAAAGAATAATGTGGGAAACCATCAAGAGAAATAACATGTGCATCATCAGAATCCCACAACAGGAAGAAGCAGGTAAAGGCACCAAAAAAGTTATAGAAAATTACTAGAGGAAAACTTCCCAGGCATAATGAAGAATGAGAGAACATATATTCAAGAAGCTGAGCAAACACCATATAGAACAGACCCCAAAAGAAAAACACCAAGGTATATCATAGTCAAGTTTGCCAGAACCAAAGATAAGGAGAAAATTCTGAAAGTAGTGAGGGAGAAACAAAGAGTAACCTATAAGGGAGAGCAGATAAGATTAAGTACCGATTTCTCAGCAGAAACCATGCAAGCAAGAAGACAGTAGAATGACATACATAGAACACTCAAAGAACACAACTGTCAACCAAGAATACTGTACCCAGCAAAACTGTCCACAAATATGAAGGAGAGATCAAGATATTCCCAGAAAAACAGAACCTAAGGGAGTTTATAAAAACAAGATCAGCCCTCCCCTGCGCTCCTTCCCGGACGGCGAGGACACAGCCACCAGGCATGGCGAGGGTCCCCGCCTGGCTACAGCCCAGGCAGAGGAAGAATACCTATCTCTCTTTTTTTTTTAAGAATACCTATCTCTTCATCTATTATTTAATCCAGTTCTGTGGTCATTCATGGATCTTTACAAATATGACAGCCAGATTCTTTACATTTGGAAAAGACTCAATGGTTGACACTTTTTATGCTATTGGACTTGTGATGCGCCTTTGCCAGTCCGTTTCCCTGCTGGAATTGCTGCATATATTTGTTAGCATTGAATCAAACCATCTTCTCCCCAGGTTTCTGCAGCTCACAGAGAAAATAGTCATCCTCTTCGTGGTCATCACCAGTCAAGAGGAAATCCAAGAGAAATATGTGGTGGGGGGTGTATTGATCTTTTGGAATCTGTTGGATATGGTTAGGTACACCCACAGCATGCTGTCCGTCACAGGCATCTCCTACTCCATCTTGACGTGGCTCAGCCAGACACTCTGGATGCCCGTCTATCCTCTGTGTGTGCTCGCCAAAGCATTTGCCATTTACCAGTCGTTGCCTTATTTTGAATCATTTGGTACCTACTCCACCAAGCTGCCCTTTGACTTCTCCATCTGTTTCCCGTATGTGCTGAAGATATATCTCATGATGCTCTTTATAGGTATGTATTTTATCTACAGTCATCTGTACTCAGAAAGAAGAGATGTCCTTAGAGTCTTACCCAACCAGAAGAAGAAAATGTGAAGCCCTGCTTTCCTGTGTGGCCAAAAAAGGACAGGCTTACCGATTCCGCTGCAGAAAATCCAACAGAAGGAGCCTCCTGGTGAGAAAAATCTGCATTGGACAAACAAGTGCAACAGGAGATAATCGCATTGCCCTCAAACACTCCAGCCATGCCGCTGTATG